AGAGGCTTCTGAGAAAAATTAAGGCTCATGGTATCGAGGGGAAGTTTTAAATTGGATAAAATCATGGCTCACCGATAGAACGCAGAGGGTCAGCGTAGATGGTGTTAAATCTGAGTGGGGCCGTGTAACCAGTGGAGTTCCCCAGGGGTCAGTACTAGGCCCACTCTTGTTCATAATCTACATAAACGATTTAGATACTGGGATCAGCAGTGACATAAGCAAGTTTGCGGATGACACCAAAATGGGGCGGCAAATTAATTCAGGGCACGATGCAAATGCATTACAGGAAGATCTAAATAAACTGCAGGGGTGGTCTGAAAAATGGCAAATGAAATTCAACACCAGCAAGTGCAGCGTACTTAATATTGGAAGAACAAATACTTATAATGTATACAGCCTTAACAACATCAACCTAGAGAAGTCGACTTGTGAAAGAGACCTAGGGGTACTTGTAAGCCCGGACCTACGGCCTAGAAAACAGTGCGTTAATGTTCGAAATAAGGCAAACAGAGTATTGGGTTTTATATCTAGAAGTGTAAGTAACAAGAGTGCAGAGGTCTTATTGCAACTATATCTTGCGCTAGTTAGGCCGCACCTCGATTATGCAGTTCAGTTCTGGTGCCCCTATTATAGAATGGATATAAATTCACTAGAGTCGGTGCAGCGAAGAATGACAAAAATGATTCCGGGACTTAGAAACCTTCCATATCAGGATAGGTTAAAGAAACTTAACTTGCATTCCCTAGAAAGACGAAGAGTGCGGGGAGATATGATAGAAGTATTTAAGTGGGTGAAAGGAATCAATAAAGGGGATATAGATAAAGTTCTTTTAATATCCGAGCAGGATAGGACTCGGAGCAACGGATTCAAGTTGGATAAGTTTAGGTTTAGGACGGAGATAGGAAGAAACTGGTTCACAAATAGGGTGGTGGACGAGTGGAACAAGCTTAGCAACTTTGTAGTAAGTGCGGGAACCCTGGAAAGTTTCAAAAGGAGGCTAGATAGATTCATGGATAATAGAGAGTGGTAGTAACTCTCGACAGGAGCTGCCATGCACAGGCCAACCGGCCTATTGCAGACTCCTTATTTTCTTATGTTCTTATGTTCTATAAACCATAGTAATGGTCAGTACAAAACTGATATGTTACACAAATTTATTTGTCAGTGGCTCAATGTTAAAAATGCTTTGAAAGCATTCGAGTTAGATATAGGATAGATGATTAGTGGGTCCCATATTTTTTACCTGACTTGCATGACTAGTTACGTCGCCCTTTCTTTTAAGCTCCTTTGTGTGTGTGGTGGTGTTGGTGTGCGGATTAGTGGATGTCATGTTTATGACCTGAAATGTTTAGTAAGGTCACTCCGTGTTCTTAGCTTCTCTCGGTCCTTGTAATTCAGTCGCCTCTGAAGATGTCTTGAATAAAGACGAAAGCTAAGGTGCTCCATTGTTTCCCTTTTTTCCTGTGTGATTTTATCAAGATTTATCTTATCCACGTTTTCATTGTGGATCTGCATGGCATATATATATATATATATATATATATATATATATATATATATATATATATATATATATATATATATATATATATATATATATATATATATACTGTATATACCAACATCAACATGGTATTTATTGTGAGGAGACTGAGATGTATGAGTGAAAACGTACGTTTCAGTGGGCAACTCAAGAAAGGTCATAGCTACTGTACATGTTTTATGGGCTATTGAGCATAGTATGAATCATATGACATTAACAATAACTAACATGTACGATTGTGATCAGTACAACCTAACCTAACCTAACAATTCTTTATTGCAACTACTGCACAGTTCTTATCTTTTATTGTATTTTTAATAAAGTAATTGTTCTTTTTTTTCATTTTTGTGTCCTGAATTACATAAAACATTTATTAGTTGACTTAAGGTACCAAAAATAGCGTGGAAAAGCAATTCATCATTGTATTCACAGAAGAGGTTACAAGAAATAAACTGTTAAAGCTAAAAGTCCATAAGAGTCCCGGCCCTGACATGGTGCATCCTAGAGTGCTAAGAGAGTTGTCCAACGAGCTTGCTGAGCCCCTGAAGATCCTGTTCTGTAAATGACTGGATGAACAAAAGGTCCCCAGTGATTGGAAAATGGCTTATGTGAGTCCTATCCTCAAGAAGGGTGATCGTCACTCCACGAATAACTATAGACCGGTGACCCTGACCAGCATAGCATATAAAGTACTTGAGAGCATTATTTAGAGATACCATGATGGAACATCTACTACGAAACAACCTTATAAATGTAAAGGATTGCCAACACGGTTTTTTGCTGGGGCGCTCCTGCTTAACACAATTACTCAAGGTACTGGATGTTTGGACCCAAATTCTGGAACAGGGTGGTAATATCGACAATATATATCTAGATTTTGCCAAGGTTTTCGAGAGCGTACCCCATGAAAGGCTGAAAATTAAATTGGAAGGGTACGGGATTCGGGGAAATGTCTTCGCGTGGGTCGGAGATTTTCTCCATGACCGAAAGCAGTGTGTGGTGATTAATGGCATGAAATCATTATTTGTACCCGTCACAAGCGGGGTACCACAGGGTCTTGGGCCCTCTGTTGTCTGTTTGCTTCATAAATGATATGCCTGACGCTGTACATTCCTCCATACAAATATATGCAGATGACGCAGAGTTATTTCGGGAAATTATGAACCAAGCAGACTGTGAAGAGTTGCAGAAGGATCTCTGCGAGCTTCAAGAATGGTCGAAGAAATTGATGCTCAGATTCAATGTCACGAAGTGTAAGAATCTGCACCTGGGACGTACCAACGGTAAGGAGGAGTATCATATGTCCCAGTGGGACGAAGAAACTGCATCAATTGAGACTGAATGTGAAAAGGACCTAGGTGTGTATGTAGACAATGAACTGAAGTTCTCGGGCCATTACGAGAAAGTGAATCAGGTAACTAAATTACTAGGTCTTATAAGAAGGTCGTTCAGGTATCTAGCGTAACGATCTTCAAGAGTGAGGTGCTACCCCGCCTGGTCCCCGAGATATGCTAGGGACTGTCAGTTGATTGAAAATGTCCAAGGAGGACCACCAGACTGTTGCCTGCACTTCGGCACCTCAGCTACCCTGAGAGATTAGAGCGCCTGAAATTGCCTAGCTTATACTACAGACGGGCAAGTGGGGGGGGGGGACCTAACTGAGGTGTATAAACATCTCAAAGGACACTACTCAGTCGAGTGTCCTTACTTGGAGCTGGCGGACGCTCGTCTCACAAGGGATCACAGCTCAAAGTTGAAGAAGCCACTAAACCAGCATACCGACGCACACGCCATCACAATCACACTAAAAGGTATGTCCCTCAATATTGTCAATGCCTATGGCCTGGCACTTGACATTATTAGGGACCTGCCACACTTTGCGATAAACAGATAAATTGTACCGGGAATTTTCTCCCCACACACACTCATCATTCTGTCACTTTATGGAACTTGCTGACAAAACCCATGACCCTTCAGGCTTTTACGCCCTTAATGCATGAGTCATAAAGGCAAGCATGAACAACGCATGCTTCCCAGATGGGCGCTGTAAACGCTTCTGCGCTTCACTTTGCACAGGATGTAAGGGGGTGCCCAATAAACTAGCCCCCTCGGGGGCAATCTAAAAAAAAAATCTAAATCTAGTCCAGAAAACTGAGGGATAACTTTTTCGGAGTGAGAGTTGTGAACTCTTGGAACAATTTGCCAGAGAGTGTTGTGACGGCAACAAGTGTGAGCTCTTTCAAGACCAGATTTGACAAGCCCTAGAGCAGGTTCAGGTACATTAAGGAGCCAGTGCATGCCCAGTACTTGCCAACAATGCGTAACAGAGATGTGACCGATCGCCCAAGCGGCTAACAGAGCCGATCAGTGGTGAAGAGGATAAAAGTAAAAAGTAAAAACTTGAGTGGGGGGGTTGATTCTTCAGGTGTCTACTCTGGGGGAGAGAATCTTCATATGATCCCTTATTACTAGCAGAGTTGCCCGAGAAGTCTCTCTCTCTCTCTCTCTCTCCCTCTCTGGGTCAAGACGATTCCATCGATACCAAATAAAATATTATGTAGAGATCGTATGTCTGGGAGAGGACTCATGCGCGGAAAACGCACACACACACACACGCACAGGCAGACATAAACTTCCAAATATATTTGAGATTTGGGGAGTGAATTCTTTCGATTGAGTTATATCTTTATGGAAATTGTTTTGCAGATATGATTGAAATTATATTCAGGGTTTCTTTCCGCTAACCAATTAACCGCTCATGTGGAATCTTAGGTTACACTACATTTTTTAAGCATGTATTCGTTAGTTTATTTACAGAGCAATTTATTTTGACAGAAGACCATTGGAATTTTAATTTGCAGAAAAAACTGCTTTAGTGTTCCTGTATATCATCAACCTTATAGCTTCCTTATGTTATAGAAAGTTTATCTTCAGTTATACTGTATACAGTACAGGTAATATTTTCACCTTAAAGACTAACCACCCTAACGCTATTTAGGGGGATGAGATTACTATATTGCATGTATCACATTTATATTTTCAATTGACGACCATGAGGACAGCACGTTATCATGTAATTTTAGTTTCTTTCTTGTGGGTTACTAGAGGCGCGAAATGCCGTGTAAACGCAAAGCGTCACCTCGAGTAAAGGGACTTCTGGCATATTTCCAACACCGGGAGTATAGATGTGGCACCACCGCGAGGGGGTACAAATATCACGCTACGAGGGAGTGTTCACAAAAATAGATTCTAGGTTTATATATATTTTTTTATGTTTAATCATACACTAATGATAACGAGGATTTTTTTTGCTTAACCTCACTTCATGACTAATTATTTTTATTTAAGACCAGACACTGTGGATAGATAGGTTTTAAGTTGTTTTGAGTTAAAATCCCCAACGTAAGCGCGGGAGAAACTTGACAGATCAGTGAGACTATTGTGTGAACGTGAGGCACCGATCCAGTGCACGTAGTCTCGCTACAACCACAGCCAAGAGAGGGTGAGGAGCAGCTTCTCTGAACATCTTCCAGAGCAACTTTTTCAGTCACAGAAAGTGATCTTATCAGAGGAAATTTTCCGTGAATCTCGCACACCAATTACCAGTTCTCACTCTTCGCTGTTTCGGGGTAACTTACAAGAGTGTCTGTCAATTGTCACTCGTAAGACCACACCTACGTGACCACCTGCTGCTGTAACACCACAAGTTGATCAACGTTCGCCTACAACGTAGAAAGACCGAAACCTGGATGGTTCCCACCCCTTTCTGAACTCCGGAAGAACAACAACTCGTTTATCGATCAGTTGAGGCTGATCCTGCCAACGCCGCCGCCCCAGCCTGTAAAAAGGTCTCGTCAGCGACATTTACAGAGTGGCTTGCCCCTAAAACACGCGCACTCATGATGTGTGCATTCATGACACCAGTTTTGAAGAATGACTGGGATCTATACCACACGAGACGCTCGAGGAACAACTCTGAAAGTTCGGCGGTAAGTAACAATAGACGTTGGATATGCAAAGGGTTATGGTAGTCGGTAGACACAACAGGTAAACATTGCACGGCTCCTAGCAGAATATTCTAGAGAAAGTAAAAGATGTCGAGTTACGTTGTGATAGGAATAACCCGATGTACAGTAGTAGATTAGTCCTGTAGAGGCTAGGTGCCACGACATATTTTAGAAACCAAAAATGGCAGTTTCATTTTGTTGCCTTACATTAACTAAACTCGGAGGTAAGTGTTATATGCCTACCGTATATCTCGTCTGGGAGACTAAACTCGGAGGTAAGTGTTATACGCCTACCGTATATCTCGTCTGGGAGTATCGACGGACGGGCTAGACAGGTGGTTGTGACTATCTAATAATATCAACCAACAGGTGTTAGGGCGTAAAGAAACCGGAGGTGCTATACAACCATATCCATGGATTTGAGATACCAAGAAAGACTACCAATGGAGGTGACATATATATAAGATAGCTCTAACTTAGGCCATTTCGATTTTATAAAGAATGCCAAAAAATAGATATTCAACAAGCTCTTCCCATTCAGCGATTTATACGAAAATTGAAATTAATAAATGCTAAAAAGTCATGGATCATGAAGAGAATGCGCTGTCGTAACTAGAAATATATGTAACGTCAAGGTCAACAGACTGTGGGTAAACAATAACATCAAAAGAATGTTCGTACAGTAACAACAAAACTTAGTGCTCAAGGACTGCAGAATACGAATAATGCAAGAAGGAATTATGTGATACGCATTCTCATTTAGTATCTTCCGTGATTTGAGTTGAGATGTGTTGGAATGTTTTAAAGTATCAAAGTGTATTTAATATACTACAGCATGTCGAAAGGAAAAATTTGGGAACGGGCACGCCACTTTTAATATTTTATTTGGCAAATGCCAGTCGACTTATTGCTTTAACCTAGATAAGCCAGCTTTCCCAGAAGATTCCAATACTTTTTCCTTAACGCAGAATTGTACTCAGTCATTTTTGTATAGAAATAAGTAATTACTATTGACCACAGAATATCTCCTAATGTCAAGTGCACATCGCTTCAAAACGGCCTCAAAATGTCCATGATAATGGTCAGATATAAAAAATATATATATATATTGGGGGGGGGGGGGAAGCTAACAGCGCTCCCACAAAACCCCCCAACAGGGTGGTCTCGCTTTGCCAGCCACTTTCCCCCACCCAAAACTTCTTGGACCCCCCATTTTAATATTCCTGGATCCGCCCAGAAATACCGTAAACTACAAGTATGCGAACGCACGGCCTCGATGTTTCAGTCTAGTTAGTTCTAAGCAAAGTCGGTGGATGTGTGCAGGCCCGTCCTTAAGGGGGGGCGACTGCCCGAGGTCACTCGGACACATTACCTGTTAACTGGTTAATCTGACCTGACGGCTTACGCCACCATCGCAACCGTGACCTTACCATTCATAGCGACAGTCCCATGGGGGTTGGTGGGGGTGGGTTCCCCTGACCGTATAATCTGACTCCATATATATATTTTCTGGGGCCCCGCAGTGGCTGAGTTGCCCTGGGCCCCGCACCCTCCTAGGGACGGCCCTGGATGTGTGAATAAATTGTCTCGTCTGATGGTATGATTTACATGAGTAAGTAACACAGATACCGGTACATCACTAAATTCCGATTAGGGAACATTACATAAAAAATAAAAATTCCTCTGGGAATGAGGGCAAGGTTATGGAGTCAAGAATGAAAAGAGGTATCAGCATATTGGGGGGCAATGCGTTGGACAATACTGTAAACATTAAATATAGCGCTTAGTTGCTGTGTGAACTGGCGGGCAGTGGCCAATGTGAGCGAAGTAGTTGTTAAATACAATCTGGTTGGTGTCGAAGAGGAGGGTATTTTAAGCACAATTGTTCTGTGAGTTGAGCAGCTGCCAGCCACGTGTAACCTTGTGTATTTTAGCACCTATGCAGTCCCTCCACATATGGGCCAAGGATAGAACAGAATTTTTCTGTTGCTTATGTTCTTGCAAGTCGATATATTGTTTGAAAAAAAGTTTAAAGAACAATGGCACGTTGTAACCCGGTTCATATAAACAAAACAAAGAAAAGTCAAGGTACGGAACAGGGCAAGTTTACGGGTCAAGGCACGAAAGCAGGTTTATCTTGAGAACGCTGAACAGGTTATTTATGTTAACTTAAACACTATGAAGCTAGAGTTACTGTAGAGCGATTTTAAAGTACAAATAAAGGACGGAAGCAAACCAGATCGTTTTAAGAATAACAATGAATCGAACAGTAACTGTACTCAACGATTGCTTTGGAAATCCCGTTGGTAGCCAACCGGGAAGCACAATTTTAAGTTGGGTCCTAATTTGCAACACGGCCTGTTTGTTGTCAGGGGGGGGGGGGGGGTGTACCAGGACAGGTCCTCGGCTTGGTGAAGGTCTTGTTCAGTAACGTGATAATAGTCGGGTGAGCAATCTAAAGCACAACACAATCTGGGAAGAGTAGGAGGACTAGGCTTACAAGATTCGATTGGAAAGGCCTAGGCTTGCTTACATATGATGAAACCGATATTCTTAATAAAAGCTCGGGGGATGTAAAGTTAATGCTTAACTTGTTACTAGTTAATGCATAACATGTTACTAGACTTTCTACTGTTAAGTTAAATTGTCAATGAAGGGGTGGGCTAAGTTGGATTACAGCCGGCCTTGCAATGTTGGTGGGCAGTGCGCTGAAGTGGTAGAGCATATTAGGTTTACCTGCCGATTACTATTATTTTTTTATGGGGAGGGGGCATGAGGAGATGGCGCTTGGAGACCGTGAAGAAAGGGGGTGGAGGAGCTTCAGTGGACTATACCGAATATATTAGTTTTATCCCAGTACTGTATATATCAAGGAGTATCTGGTCGATCGTATATATTTTTAAGTTAAATCGAGCTTGAACGTGAAATTGAACGTCTATGTGGAGGGCAAGTTAACGTGATTGCATGTAAAAAAAACTGCCCACTTGGGTCCGATATGTTTGGAAATGAACATTATGTACAGCAGTTTCGGTGCGGTTGGTATTTCTGATTGTATGTTGTTCCTCATAATATCTATGATAACCGAACCGAAACTGCTGTGCATTGCCTTCATTTTTAACATATCGGACTCGGGTGAGCATTTTTTTTTTACCAATACCACATGAAGAGCAAGGTTTGCAGGTTAGTCCAGGGTGCAGCTCAAATTAATTCGTGGGAAAACTAAGCTTTTCCTTTCTAAACCAAATAAATTCTCACAAGTGCAAGTCTTATGGTGTGCAATAATATACCCATTTATTTTAACTACCTACGACCACATTCACTGCTGATAAGTATCTGAGGGGGATACCAGGGAACATTATTACTGCAGGACACAGGATTCCACTATAGAATATTACCCGCAAGTCCACAATGGAACATACGGTGATGATGGAACATACGGTGATGAATTTGAGCACATTTATGGGTTAACATTTAGAAGTTGCCAACACCTACTTATGTACTATTGAGTCTTACATGGGGAGAAAGAGAAAAATCTAAATATAATTTATTCTATAACGTTTCCGTCGGGAATTATATTTTTCGAGCATTTTAACCGTTAAAAATTACCCACTATATTAGTTATTCAAAGTGGGCAGGGCTTTGAAGTTGAGAGGAAATGTGAGGTAAAATACTTAAAAATAACACCAAACAAACCTTTGAAACCCTTGCTTAACGTTTCCTAACTTGTAAAAATGTTAAGAATCAATTTTGAGTTTATGAATCACTACAGAACTGAACACCGAAAACAACACCAGCACATACAAAAAAGCGAAAACAATACCATCGCCTACTAAACACCGGAAACAATACCATCGCCTACTAAACACCGGAAACAATACCATCGCCTACTAAACACCGGAAACATGAATACGTTTGGGATTTTTAACGGTTAGGAAACGTTAGGTCAGGTTTTCAAAAGTTTGTGTTTTTTGGGGGGTGGGTGTGTAGAATCCAGGTAAAAAAGTCACAGAAAAAAGTCAGGAAAAAAAGTCACAGGAAAAAAAGAAAAGTTAACTATCGAATTCTCACATTTTTTAAGGTTAATATGTCAATCAGTTTCAGTAAAGGAATATGCAGAACCTAACCTAAACTAACCAAAATTGTGACTTTTTTCTTGTGCCTTTATTACCGGCCACCATAAATTAATTGTGACTTTTTTCCTGTGACTTTTTTTCCTAGCCAAAATTGTGACTTTCTGTGACTTTTTTTCCTGTGACTTTATTACCGGCCACCGGTGTGTATTACCCCACATTTCCCCTCTACTTCAAAGCCCTGCCCTCTTTAAATAAGTAATAATGATGGTAATTTTGTCGGTTAAAATATCGAAAATATACATTTCCGATGGAAACGCTATAGAGTATATTATATATAAGTAGGTGTTGGCAACTTCTAAATATTTACCCATATTTGTATAATAGTAGTCTCAATTGCGTTTTACATTCGCTTTTACGTCTGTTTAAAATACTGTAAATGAAAACTCTGTCTGTACAACCTTGTCGTCATTTCCTGCGTTGTTCAGGAAAGTGCTTTTGTGCTTGATTCCAGAGTCTTAAACGAGCGTTATCTAATTTATGAGGAAACTGCTACCACCAGAAGTTGTTCGATTTTGTTCATTTTTCATGTTATAATTATACAGTAGTAAGTATTTTAACAGAGGCGACAACGGTAAAGATTCGTTTTAGTTACATCACGGAAACTCCTAGTGTATTTTGTGTTGTTTCAAACGAATCTGACCATTTCCGTCGCAAATGAGCCTTGTTTCTATTACAGTTGTTGCCACTAAACGAATCTCGGTAATTTTATAGTTGCAATTCTAAGACTATCATCTTCAGTGGCATTTCTGGCGCAAATTACGAACGTGGCGGTACACACCTAGGAACAACTGTGGAATCCCCCTCCCCTGGTTAGGTTTGGTTAGGTTAGGTTAGGTTAGTTTAGTTTAGTTTAGTTAGGTTGGATTTAAAACTGGTTTCCAATGGTTTTTGAACACTTTTTACCTTGATTTTTTTATAGCAAATTTCTAGATACTGAGATGGGAGGGGGCTTATCTCAAAAACTATTGATTTGCGTCAGAAATTAAGGTCAGATTCGTTTATAACGTCAACAAACAATCGATCGGAAAAACAGTTTCAACTTAAATTTCGTTTATTGGCAACAAGTGGTAGGCAGCTATCAAACAGGGAGGTTCTATCGCCTGGGAAGATATTGGAAGCATAATGTGTTGTCTAATAATAGACCCTGCTGTCATATGGCATCACAAAAATTTTGACCAAGTCCTAGGTTGCTGATATGACTTTCTGCCTCATTTACTCAAAATTGCAGTCTCAATTGTTTCTTTTATTATTGACAACACAACATACATACTGTATCGTTTCTCACTAGATTTATTTTTTGTTTTGTATTTATTATTATTATTATTATTATTATTATTATTATATATTCGCCCTCCAAGCCCTGATGTGGGTAAGTGACCTGTGCCCGGGTGGGCTAATCCCCGGGAAAAATTAAAATTTACTTTTTTCTTTTCCTCAGAAAACCGACCTAACAACCCCTCCCCGGCCATATTAAACTGAAAATACATAGTTTGATATCTGGTACCAATGTAAGCAATATTCTTAAAGTGTCATGGTGTAATTTAACGTTTTTTTGTGGACGTGAGATTACACTCAGACCGAACCCGGTTGTAAACAAACAGGGCAGACGGCAACGCGCTGACTCAACAGATATCAGAGGAATATTTACAGTACCTAATTAACTTCTTTGCGTACAAAGAACGTAGATACATTATTTTTAAGTCATATGACCAGTTTTTCACTTATCTTTCATGTCCTGCCAACTACAGGTGATTTATTATCGTAGATTGAAAAAAAAAATTACGGGAATTGGCCCACCCGGGCACAGGTCAAACGACCCACAACAGGGCCTGGAAAACCCTGCTGCTATATGGCATCACAAAAATTGTGACCAAGTCTCAGGTTGCTGATCTGATCTTTCTGCCTCATTTACACACAATTGCAGGGTATCAATTGTTTCTCTTACTTTGACAACACATCATGCATATATTGTTTCTCACTCTTGATATTTTCATAATTTTTGCATTTCTTTATGGTTCTTTATTATTATCATTATTTTTAGTGTTGTTATTGATATTATTGTTATTTTATTTTTAATTTTGTATTTTGTATTATAAATTTTATTTACTATGAATTATTATTTTATTTTTTTATTTTTCTTATAAATTTTATTTAATATGAATTATTATTATTATTACTACATTTTCATCCCCAGGCCCTGTTGTGGGTCAGTGACCTGTGCCCGGGTGGGCTAATCCCCATAAAAAAAAATACTGTATAGCGTACAGAGTTATATTTGTGTAAAAATCATAAATATAAATATTAGCTGTCAACCTCTTTGTCCTTAGCGAAGTAGATTACAGTACCAGTACTGTATCTTGTAATTATTATTTTTTCTTAATTAATTTTGTTTTAGTAACACTGTGGACTAGCTTTATGTTTACCTTATAATGAAACCTACTATAATTTTCAGACATACTTCATCCACTTGTATTTTGTCATCTTCACTTGTCTAGCTAGTACTAAAAATCTAAGTGAAAACAGCCACCAAACACGATAATATTATTTTGAATGACATCATTAGGCCCGGCTCCAGTAAATCTATATGAGGACATCCCAAACTCCACGGTAGGACATATCTTCTCTCCATATTAGGAAGTTCCTCTCCCTATAGTATAGCACCTCTTAACTAATTATGTTCCTTTCCTGGGTTACTTTATATTGTACCCAATCATGGCCACTTTCTCGCTCGTTAACCAAACTAAAAAATCGTATACCGGTAATTGTAGTTTTATGTTGATTCCAATAAATTTTCATAGTGTAGTATTGTACTCAAGCACTTTTGTTTAGTGGAAAAAGTAATTACTATTTACCTCCAGAATATCTCCTAATATCAAGTGCACAACTGCACATGGCTTCAAAATGGCCTCAAAATGCCCATGATCTTGGTCAGATTTCAATAAGGCCCCCAAAAAAAATCCCCCAGCTGGGTGAGCTCACTGTGCTCGCCATGTTCCCCCATCCACCACTTCTTGGACCTCCTCCCCCTCTCCCCCTTTTTTGTATTCCTGGAGCCACCCCTTTTAAGGACAATCACTCTTGGTCGGGTTAAATATAATAGTCTATCAGCCACGATCACAAACCTGACAAATTTCTTTACTCTCTTTTCCTCAGGTATCGGCCCCAGCCACCCAGCGCTCGCGGCCATCACATGTCCGGAAACGAGGTATAGGCGAGACTGGACGGAGCTTCTCGTACCACGCCCCATGTCATGCCCGCAGTGACATGATGTACGTAGGGTCCCCACCGAGGTCTTATCATTTGTCCACCAAAAATTCCAGATGTGCTTCTAGGACTTCCATGGACCCTTCCTCTTCTGGTGAGTGCTCATGATATGGATCGTTGGACCCCACAGGTATAGTACAGCATAGTATTGATTACTTCAAGGGGAGGGAAAATATAATGTTCTCTTGGGGTAAAGTAACATTGTGTGCATAACTAAAATGGGTCTCTCTCTCTCTCTCTCTCTCTCATTATATATATATATATATATATATATATATATATATATATATATATATATATATATATATATATATATATATATATATATATATATATATTTCATGTATATGAAAACGTGGATAAGATAAATGATAAAATCACACGGGAAAATGGAAACAACGGAGACCTTAGCTTTCGTCTTTATTCAAGATATCTACTGTATATATATATATATATATATATATATATATATATATATATATATATATATATATATATATATATATATATATATATATATATATATATATATATATATATATATATATATATATATATATATATATATATATATATATATATATATATATATATATATATATATATATATATATATATATATATATATATATATTATATATATATATATATATATATATATATATATATATATATATATATATATGAATTAAATTATCAGGCTAGTACAGGTTGTACCTCTCTAGTCCGCATTCTGTGGTCGGAACGATTTTAGTTTGTCCAATAAGTTGACAGCTTTTTTTTTTTTTATATACTTATCTGAATTATTATTATTATTACAGGAGTATTAAATTTTTGCCCCATCAGGCCCCAATGTGGGTCAGTGACCTATGCCCGGGTGGGCTATTCCCCTTAAAAAAAAAAAGCCACGGGAAATTAAGGTTTGTTTACATCCTGCAGTTCGGCTGCTAATTAAGTGTTGCTTTCATATTCTTATGTAGAGTAATGACGATATGTTTTCACATGTGCGCACTTACATACGCACAGTCTCACTTTTTTTTTTTACCATTAATGGTTAGCTACTTATATTGTTCCATTTATTAACATTAAATAACATTACAGGTACTTCAAACAGCCATGTTATTTTTTTTACATTAATTTTACTACAGCTAAAATCAGGGTCACATTTTCTTCAGTTTTATATGTAGAACCAATCAGTCACCGGTTTTGTAAGCTTTAACATAAACAGTGCCGGCAGCCGTCTCGTCTCCTCTAATATTCCACATATTATTAATAAATTGTATTGTTAATTTTGCACACACAAACATTAATTCAATGAAAACAAATTCAGAAACATTAATGAAAATATATATGAACAGTAAATAAGTGTTGCTTTCATATTCTTATGTAAAGTAATGACGATATATTTTCACGTGTGCGCATCGCACTTACATACGCGATCTCTCTTTTTTTCTTGACCATTATCGTTAGCTACTTCTATTGTTCCATTTATTAACATTAAATAACAATATTTAAAACAACCATATTAATTTTACTACAGCTACAGCCAAGGTCTTATTTTCTTCAGTTTTATATGTAGAACCAGTCAGTCACTGGTTTTGTAATCAACGAAAACAATGCTGTGTCATTTCCTCGTGTGTTTTAATATTCCACATATTATTAATGAATTGTATTGCTCATTTTGCACACATAAACATTAATTCAATAAAAAAGACATTCAATAATAAACAAGAATGAATCTTTTGTACTTAAGAGAAATGACGCTGTTTACACGATTATGCACGTCGTCTGCACGTTGGCGGGCCGTTCAAACCCGTCGAAATTCAAGTTTCGGTCAAAATTTTTATTTTTTTGTGTGTCCCAATAAAATACGTTAAGAATTAAAAACTCGCGAAATTTGAGAAGCTACTATACGACATTTAACCATTCAATATGTCTTCAAAGAGACCATGATGCAGAGAAAGTGGTGCTAGTGCTTCCAAGCATAAGCACAAGTCACTATCTATCCAGGAAAAGGGTGAATTTCCATGGTCCGGCAATTTCCATGGTCTGGCACCGGTCAGGTCCCGAGGTTGCCGGACTAGAGAGGTACAACCTGTAGTTTCAAAGTTACTGCCTCTGACATGTCAAGTTTCTTCACACTTATTACAAGTACCTCTTGTTGTGCAGTTTTTAATGTTTTAATTATTGCAGTTGGGGCTATGTTAATTTTTTAATTGAGTGCATAATTCATTGTTCTTGACAGGGACTACAAGCCCACCCAAGAGTCCTCTGGCCACCACCACCACAAGTGGCCCCCCCAAAAGCCCATCATCCAGCTCTCTCACGAAATTCCACAACAAGGTGGGTGTGTGTGTGTATTTGCGTGCTAGTGAGAGAAAAGTGGAAGTAAATAATGGTTAACAGTGAAAAAGAATTATCAAGATATACTGATAGGATGAAGTGCAACAGCTGAGTGGATACACTGCTCGCTTTCTGTCCTTGGAATCCACATTTTACCCAAGTGAATGGGTAATTAGCTTTGCTATTGGGGAAATTGAAGATGGTAGAATGTATTGCCCATCACACTGATCCTTTGTGTCCAAAAAAATGCGTTTAATTTGTGGTAAGCTGTATCCACACTGCCCCTATTAAGCTGTCAGGCCTACAGAACCCACTTTCACATTTTTTACTGATAGGATATCCTCTGGATCTTGACCATTTTAAGTTCAGGTATATGTGTGCCACTTAATAACATCCCCTCCAAAATAAGAAAAAATTCTTTCAGAATACTGTGCTAAGAGTGCATTATTTTGGTGGCTATTAAAAAATATATTTTTTCATGTGATTATAAATATCAGTAGTCATTGCAAACATTTATCTTGGTGGTGTCAGACCCTACAGGTTTTGTATATTTCTGCAACAGGTAATGGATAAGTTGAAAAACGTCCTCCATCTGAAGGATAACAGAAGTCAGGAGGAGGAGCAAGAAGATTCGAGAGGCCAGTCATGAGAAGGAGGTACCTGTACCCAATATTTTGAAGGAGTCAAGTAAGACACAAGTACTGTATTTTAAGAGGTACATAAGAGCTTCCCAAGAAAGAAGTGTTTCATAGTAGGCTACCCAACTTGTGTAAACAAAAGGGTCAGGTAAGACTAGCAGTTATTATGAGAGATTCAGAAGCAGGTACATACCGTAAGCGATGATTTTTGTTTAATAGTAAGGTAGAAGAATCCAAGAAGACGTGATGAGGGAGCATTGTTATCAAAGCATAGATGAGGATTTTTTTGCCTTACATGGATATAACTGTGCAAAAGTACTTAGAATATTTATAATTATTTCTTGTTTCCAGTAAATAAAGGAAGTATTTAATGTGGTTATGCAAACAATTTTTTGCAGTAAGAGATTTGGCAAAAAAAAAGATGTGGACTTTCTTATATAGTATCTCTTTTATGGTAATTCACCAAGAAACTTGTTGAATCACACTACTGTTAGACATAATAGAATTGGTTTACATAAATCATGTAAAACATTTGAAATTGTATACAGTATGGAACCCATTCACTCTTGAGATATTGAACTTCATCCCATAATGCTCTAAGTGTGTTCTTTATGGGGAGCTGGAGGAATATATTTGTACTGCCATCTGTTTTAACTTCGGTGAATTTGTTATTTAGCACTTATTTTTTACATAGCTTTTACAAGAGCATTAATTTCATCAGGATGCTTAATGTCAGCCATCAATGAAATATTATTAGCTAAGATGATACTCGTGTGCTCTTTCGAGAAAAGGTAGTCAAGGGTTCATATATTTATTGCCAGTAATATACAATGTAACATTCTTATATTTTAGGAAATAAAAATAAAAATACTTTAAAATTCTTTTTATATTTAAGATATATTTTTAATATTTTATAAAGTATTTCATCAAAGTTGTTCACAGGTATATTAGTACTGCACTGTATTTGTTCATAGTGTCTGAGAGTAATTGTTCATAGCAAAAGGTTCCAAGTGTTTTATTTTTTAAACTGCCAGTGTATACGTCTGGCGTGTATGCATCTTTTGAATGAGAAATTTATTTCAGTAACATTAAGTTTGGCAATTTATATTTTTCAAAATTTAAAATACAGATACTAATATAATGAATGCAGTAATTTATTGTTTATGCCATGTATAAGTCTTTGAAGAAAGGGTCATTTATTCCTAGTTATTACTCAAGTATTTCATGTTTTTATGATAAATTTGTAAAATGCCTTTATGCCATATTGGCAGCATTTGTACCTGCTACAAAGATATGTCCAGTTTATCTTACATGCTCAGTGCTCACAGTTGAGAATAATTGTTTAGGAGTGTTGGTGGTACAGTAAGTAACGCTTGTAACTCTCACCAATATGTCAAGGGTATGAGCCTCGGCCCAAACACATGTGGGAAGGGTGTTATTCACAGGTTTCCCAGTCTCTGGTTTCCTCCTGTACTAACACTGGAAAGACTGCCCAAACGGCTATTAAGTTGATAAGTGGCGAAAATAATATATAATAAAAAACAGCACTGGAAATTAAACACACACACACACACACACACACACACTTACCTACTTACTTACTTACCAAGGTTCAGTATGAAATTGTCTGCATCATGTTCTAATGAAAAACATAAAATCATTTCACAATCAGAAAATTAAAAGAACAAAGAGATTTAATTGTGTTCCCCAGGATAAGGTATTTCATGATTACAGTATATAATATTTATTATTCTGTATTTTAGTGTCCAGCATTAAATGCATTTCACTTCGGTTTTTGAGCCTTATGGGAATCTAAATGTCAGGTTATGCAACTTGTTCTAAAATGAGTTATGTTAAGAACCATATTCCAACTCATAAATAAACTCCAAATTTGTTAATAGATTTTGAAAGTATGAATTTATATTGAAGTTGCAAATTATATTGAAAAAGTTTTCTAATTCATAAATTTTATTCTGTATTTTACACCCAGGACATTAACTGGACAAAAGAAACCAAAGAGTTATAAAAAATTTATATAAAGTGAATTTCCAGAGTTGATACTTTTGGTCATAAAACTTGGTAACTTGCTTCAACCATGTAAAATTAAAGCAAAATATTTATCCATGATAGTACAGTACTGTATATTGTCGTAGCTGGACGAATCGTTGAATGACAACTTGGATGGCATGGCATATGGCAGCTGTCTAAATTAATGCTCAAATAAGTTTTTTATTTATTTTTTCATAAATGATTGCCTGATTCTGATCTGTTATAAAAGTACAAAGGTATTTTAGGATTGTCTATGGTTGGGTGCTGTGGATCACCCAATGGGACGTTTACTACTCATCCCTGAGACTTTCTTTTAGGCTGAGCATTGTAGTTTGAATATTGAATCCATGAAAGTCTGAAATATCCACTGTTTTGGACTTGATATCAGGCACAGGAGGTACAATGTACTGCATTTTGAAGATGCATTATACTGTACATAAACAGTATTACAGTATTTGCTTACATTGTAGGTGTTGTATGAAGAAAAGTGTTTATATATATATATATATATATATATATATATATATATATATATATATATATATATATATATATATATATATATATATATATATATATATATATATATATATACACTGATTCATTTAGGTTTTATTCAAGAACCTGAGTCTTCTTACCTCTGTAAAATCAATGCATTTCTAAATGTCAGTTTGAGGTACTGTATGTTTAAATGAGTAAACACAGCAGGGTTTTATGCAGTTGCTCTCCAGCATAGTTGACTTCAAAAGATTCTCATACTTCGTTGCGTCTGTGGTGCTAACTTAAATTTTCAAGAATCCCAGAGGTTATTTACCTGTATATGTAAAATGTCCTTCCTATAGAACTAGAAATTTAGTAATATTCATAACTATAATGGCAATTCTGTATACAGTACAGTATACTGTATGTATATTTGGTTTCTAAAGTGCAGTTTTCTTTTGGAAGGTACAGTATTTATGCATTATCTGTGTAACTTACACACGTGTGTTCAGTCAGTGCCAGAATTTAGTAGTATAAATTATTTTTTTAAGTACCCAGTAACTCCAAGTTCAAACCAAGACTTCGCTTTTCTACAGCAGTGCCAATCATTGTTGAAAATTTACACATCTGTTTACTACTTTTTTGTACTTTTTTGAAGACAGAAATTAAATTTTGACTTAAGTAATCAAGCAAGTGTATTTACATAATCCTATTTGTATATATGGTCATATTTTTTTTTTTTAATAAATTTATGGTTCATCGGGTTATAAGGCAAACTTTATAAAGAGCTACTTATTCTAGAATTTAAAATACTGGGAATGGGTAGTAAATAAAAAAAAATGCATAATATATCAATGGCTTTTTATTCCAATACACCTTGTAATTTAATACATGTATGTCTAATTGTCTGGTCCCCGAGGTATGCTAGAGATTGTCAATTGATTGAAAATGTCCAAAGGAGGGCTACCAGACTGGTGCTTGCTCTATGGAACCTCAGTTACCCAGAGAGATTAAGAGTACCTGCAACTACCTAGCTTATATTACAGATGGGCAAGGGGTGACTTGATTGAGGCGTATAAACATCTTAGAGCACCAGCAACTACCTTGCTTATATTACAGATGGGCAAGGGGTGACCTAATTGAGGTGTATAAACATCTCGGGGCACTCGGTCGAATATACATACCTGGAGCTGACAGACGTCCGCCCCACAAGGGATCACAGCTCAAGATTGAAGAAGCCACAAGTCTAGAAAACTGTGAGGGCAAATTTTTCAGAATGAAAATTGTGAACTCTTGGAACAATCTGCTGGAGAGCATTGTGACAGCACTGAGTGCAAGTTCATTCAAGGCCAGACTTGACCAACACTGGAGCATGTTCTAATATACTCAGGAGCCAGTGCATGCCCAGTATCTGCCAACGGTGCATATCAGAGATGTGACTGACCACCCAAGCCGCTGATCAGTTTCGAAGAGGATAAAAGTAAAAGTAACACTGGACAATAAAGGTCACAAAAAACAGACCAACTGCCTAGTAAGCTGATAAACTGAGTATTTTTACCATCTCTTGCCTGTAGGAACCCTACCCTAGATCCATTTTACCATAAAATTGATACAAGTACAGTGTATGTAAACCTTAATGGCAACTCCCAAGTTAAGTTTGAGGTGGCATAACAAAACAGTACCGTATAAGCTGTACATATACTGTATAAGGTTAGGTCAGGAAAGGAGATTAACATTTTGGATAAGACAGCCATTCTACCTCCTTGCATACATAAAGCCATATCCGCTGTGTTTATTGTCCAGTCATCCCTATTTGACCCATTTTCACATTCACCCAATTTTGAACTTCCGTAGACCCAATTTAGTGACTTAGTGTTTGTAGATTCAACTTCGGACAATGTTGTCAATTTATGGACCTTTTGAGTTTCATGTACAGCACTGCACCAAAAAATATGGAATTAATTTTTTCTGGTGTAGATTTTTATGCTCATTCCATTTTTTTTTTTTTTAGAAATAACAAGGAAAAATGCTATAGACCTTTAAACTTTGAATGCTCTACAGTACAGTACATTGAAATGTTACATTGTGGGGTAAAATACTAAAAAGAACACCAAACAAACCTTACCTTACCTTACCTTACCTTTCTTAACTTATGCAAAGGTTAAAAATACCTTACGAGTTCATGGATCCCCTTCACATCTGAACACCGAAAAGTACACCAATACATACTAAATACCGAAAACACGATTAAATAAATGTTTCATAATTTTAGGATTTTTATAGGTTAGGTAAGGTTTTCAAAGATTATTTTGTGTTCTTTACTTAATCACTCGTATTGATCTGCAACGAAAATAATAGGCTAAAGCAGTTTCGGCTAAAAATGGTAACATTTCACAGTAGAACATTGAAAACTTAAATGGCTATATATTTTTTTCCTATTCACCCTCCCCCCTCCAAAAAATTTAATAATAAAAAAATATAATAAAATAAATAATCATTTTTGGAATAGGCATAAAAATCTACATTAGAATTGTTTCTATTTTTGTGCAGTACACGAAACCGAAAAGGTCCCAACTTACAAACATGTAGACCAATCTGTTGAAGAAAACCAGTTGTTTTGCATTTAGGAACCGATTCATTTACTATAAACATACTTCTAAGTTGCTCCATAAATATGATAACGATACTAGTTAGTAATATTAGTTTTGGTATTTACACGAATTACCCTTGTTATTGTGAATCCAGGAAAAAAATCACAGGAAAAAAATCACAGAAAAAAAGGCACGAAAAAAACCTAACCTAACCCAATCCAACCTAACCTACGTGCATCATATATAAATTGTGTTGTCAATATGTAAGTCATTTATTGTCATTTAATAACTGCTTTAAAATATTTTTTGTTTTATTACCTTAATTGTGACTTTTTTCCCTGTGACTTTTTTCCCGTGACTTTTTTCCGTCCACCGTTATTATGACCAACTGAGAAGGAAGAGCTTTACAATATATATCAGTGTGAGCTCTTTCAAGACCAGACTTGACCAACACTGGAGTAGGTTCAGATACACTCAGGAGCCAGTGCATGCCCAGTTACTCAGTACTACTTGCCAACTGTGTAACACGTGACCGATCAGTGGCGTAGAGGATAAAAGTAAGGTATAATTATATTCTGTTTGTTTAATAGAACCTTATCTACCAAGGACACAGGAAGAATAATTGCAAAATATGAAGAGAAAATCATGAAGTACGTCAGATTGGAATAAGAATTACCTTTGGAAATTTGAAGTTGGGCTAACCTGCTGTGGTAGCTACAGTCTAAACATGGCTCCAAATACCGGTCACTGTTGTGTTGTTCGGGAGAAAAAAGAGGAATTAATAGAGCTAAGGTTCCGTTTCTTCCCAAAATATAGGAACGGGTAAGTTCATAGTTCATGTGGCTGCTTCATAAACAGTTATTGTTAAATTGCAGTTTAATTTGTCATTTCATCACTTCGCTTACTAGAGCCATTCGAGCGGCAGGTAGTGCTGTATCTTATTTGTTACTTTGTTATGAATTTATTGTTCAGTAGCACCCATGGAGTAAGTCCCTCATTTTATAGATGTTTCTAGTTTAATTTTATCTCCTATTTTCAAATGTGCAATTAAAAATATCGGAAACTAATGGAAGAAAAGTAAGAGTGCGGTTTGTTTACATTCCTTACCTTAGGCTTAGGGCATTACAGTGGTCTGTCTCGCAGACCATCTTTGGTTCCATGAGGCAAATTGCAGTTAAATTTTTCCCTATAAATTTCCGATTTTTTATTGCATATTTGGAAAGAGGGGGTAAAACTACCCAAGAATTTTTAATTCTTACAGAGTTCAATATGGTTAGGTAAAATTTTCCAGTTCGTTATAACTATATCCTTATACTGATGACTCACAATCGACTGTTTGGGGTGTTGGAAGGAATTAAGGTAGAGGAGCCTTGCTGTATATGAGTCTTATATAGTCTAACAGCCTATACAATATATCACGAAAATAATTGGGGGTTGTATTGTCAAACCAATGTCTGCCTCTCATTACATAACATGATGTTTTTATCGAGTATGAATGATATTTTTCTTTTTCAACTGCGACTTAACGCAGTCAGTGGCGCATTCTGTTTTCGAATGGGTGATAGGAAGTCCAAAAACGTTATTAGCAATCCCAGTACATGAGAGCTGTGGCCGCCATGATAGGGGGAAATTAAAACACTGTATCGAGAAACACTAAAGCGCTCCTCAAGAAGCAAATATGATCCTACCTTAACAGTTTTGTCTTAATTTCTAACTGTTGATGATTTGCTGTAATTACTAGCCTTGTTACACGCTTAAAGGCCCTAGCGTTTTGTTTTATAATGTGTCACCGAACCTCTATGATGGCTTTAATCGTGACCAGTGTAACCATGACCCTGGTACAACCCTTCCCAAATCTGAGTAAACTTTTCCGGGGATATTACACGCCAACTCTGTCTAATGTCATTAAAAAAATATATTTGGTTTTCGAGTTATATTGTACATAAAACCCCCCAAAAACGAAGAGATAGTTCTTACCCTCTATTCTTTATTTAATCTTGGTCAATCTGACTTAGACCAAGGATTCTAAGACTATAGAAGGATAGCTCACTCAATGGGTGGGTGAAGGAGTTCACCCACAATGTGGCGCCGCCAAAGAGCCGAAAAGTAAATAAAATAATTACCAGGCAAGGAATGCAGGGAGGAAAACGAAATATTCGGCGAAATCACGTTTTTCTATTGTCTTGTTCATTTCTCCTTTAGCACCTGCAATGAGAGCCCGGTACTGTGCAGCTGTTAAGTGCTCTACCAACTCTGCAAGGAACAGAAACCTGCTTTTCTTTAGATTTCCGAAAGATCCAGAGAGGTGAGTCATACATCTACTTCTCTCAATGTTCATTAGTTTTGAGTTCTTTCTTTATTTAATGTATTTAGTATTGATAACGTTCCACTCTTCAGAATTGCCAAATAACATCAAATTATCACTAGGATATATATATATATATATATATATATATATATATATATATATATATATATATATATATATATATATATATAGGGTAGTTCAGCAAAGAGTATATTAAATTGGAGGATGAAATCCTTGGATAATTCTAAACCACAAATGTCAGAATGCGCATAGTTTTCATGTTACAATACATTTAAGATGTTGTATTAATGAGAGTGAATTTGAAGGGAAACCCCCGTTGGTTTTTGTAATCATTTATTCACAGATCTCTACAGTGTGACCCCCTCTTTGTTACAACCTAAAGGAAATGTTCAAAGTTGCCCCCTTCTGCCTCAATGCAGGCCTGTACACATCGTACCATTGACTGTCTGACGCGTTCCAGCAGTGGCGGCTCGTGCATCGGGCTGCAGAGCTGCAGTCCCCCCAGACACTCACTGCCAGGCGTATGATTCCTTTAGAGAGACAGCTGAATAATACACTACCAACAAATATATCATTTATATGTTATTTAATTATTTTCAATACGTTGCTAAGTGAATTTTCATTAAAATCAGACCAAAATTTAAGTTACTTTCATAGTTGCTGTCAATGCTGTACGATTCATGTCTGTTATTAATTGGCGCCGCCGCCGCTGCCCTTGAAGCAGCTCAGTCTCGTACAACGTGTGGACGGTGTGGTTAAATCGTGCTTTCTTTAATTACCCTTTGACGATGGAAAATAGAGTGAAGTATTTGCAAAACATCAACTTTTCCCAGCTGACATTAAACGAAAAGACTGAAATCAAAGCAAGAGGAAGACCTACACCAGTTTTATTTTCAAGTAATACATGGTGAATGACAGACTGTCTGCTT